CCACAACCCGAGCTACAAATCTTCTAGAATACATGAGAAGTAAAAGTTTACGCTTCAATATACAGCCCCGGTTAGACCATATCTGATGATTTATGAGCTATTCTGAGCAGCACACTGTAAGAAAGAATATATTAGCTTTAGAGAGAGAATGATGTACAATCACCAGAATGACACCTTGACTGCAAAGGTTAAATTATGGTGCGAGATTAACAAACTTGTGTTGTGTTTCCTGCAGCTTAAGGGGTGATGTAATCAAAATGGTGGAGATGTTACGGTAGGAGAGCTAGGGAGAAAGTACTTCCACTGTTGAGAGAGTCCAGCTCTGGGGAGTAGATTATAAAAATTAGAGTCAGTCCTTCAGAAGTGAAATTTAAAAAGCACTTCCACACTTTAATGGTGGTAAGAATTTGAAACTACCTCTGCAAATGGCAGTTAGTCAATTGTAAATTTAAATTCTGAAATTGGTCAATTTTTGGTACTTAAATTGTAGTGGTGGGGGCGGTGTCTACAGAAATAGGTTGTCGATCAGCCTTGATCTTACCGAATGACAGGACACGCTGGAGGGGCTGACTCTTGCTGCCATTTCTGAGTTCTCCCTGCTGTCCTGACCAATACAGTCCCTGAGCCAGCTGATCACTATCGCATTACTGTTTTTGGGATCTTGCTGTGCAAAAGTTGGCTGCCATCTTTTCCACCTTACAGTGGTGGCTACACCACAAAAGTACTTCATTGGCTTTAAAGTATTATGGGACATCCTGGGATCAAGAAAGGCACTATAGAAATGCAAAAATCTTTCTTTCAGGTCTTGTTTAAGATGCTCCTGGGCAGTGCCAAGTACGGTGAAGCAGCTTTGTTCCTTTCGGTGCTGGGACTTTTCAATGTCACCTTCGTCACTTTTGTTCCGGTGGCCCTTTACTTTACTGGCGTTGAGCACTGGACCCCGTTCAGCTTCATTCCCTGGGAGAAACTGTGCGGGATGGCGACTCTCTTGCTGTGTAAGTCCTGAGGAGAAGTGTCTGCACCTCCCCTCCCCATTCTACAAAACGTCTCTGCCAAGTCTGTGAATGAACCGAGCAATGGGCACTGGGACCTCGGGGAGCATCATGGGTTGGGGACGAGGCAGGAGGACCACGGATCAGTCTTTAAGGGATAGTGGGTGTAGCACCTCTTCATCTGTGGTTGTACTAAGGGAGTACTGTGCTGTCTGAGGTGCCATGTTTTGGATGAGACATTAAACTGTAGCTCCATCTGGAAATAAATATTTCTTGGCAATATTTTGGAGAGGAGCAGGGAACTTTTCCCCGTCCTGTTTGATAGTTATTTCTCAAACAGTATTATTCAAAGCAGATCGGATAGTCATTATCCTTTATTCCTGCTTGTGGGATGTTGCTGTGTATCATTGGCTGCCACATTACCTGCCTTACAACACTTCAACAAGGACTTCAGCCCAAGGTGCTATATAAATGCAAGTCCTTCAGTTTGCAAATCTGTGATCTCTTGTGTCCATTGTTTCAGCCTTTAACATCCTGATGAATTTTGGGATTGCTGTCACATCACCAACTCTGATCTCGGTGGGAGTGGTCCTGAGTGTCCCTGTAAATGCTGGTAAGAACATTTCTCCTTTACCTGGGGCAAGGGGAACCAAAAAGTGCCAAAGTAAGAGCTCCACACCCTCACAAATGCCCTCCCAGTAGACCTCCCAGTTTCCTTTCTGCATAAACTAGAACTTGTCCAAAACCCTGCAGGGAAGGTTAAGGGGTGACTCTGTCCAGGTGATTGAAATTGTGAAAGTTTTGGACAGAGTTTCTGAGGGAAGACTAACTCCACTGTAAGGGTAAAGTGGATGGAGTTCTATGTGGGCAAGTGTGAGGACCTCCACTTTGGGTCTGAGAAAGTTGATCAGATGTGGTCCCTAATTGGTGGGAAACTCTGAATGGATTGATGAGAAACCCAGGATGGGGTGGCAGGAAACTCGGAATGGTGCAAGAATGGGGAGATTGAACAGCACAAATACTAAAATAAATCACTAAAAGCTAGCGGCCAGGCATAAAAGAACCAATAACGGTGAATAAAATGTTGGCCTTTGTCTCCGAGGGCTGGTTTGCAAAGGGCTATATTTCTCTGTGTAAAGTTGTGGTTGGATCTCAGTTGGAGGACTGTGTTCAGCTGTGGACACGTACCTCAGGGGTGGTGGAGAGTGCGGGTATAATGGTTTTGAAAGGTGTGCAGCATAAATTGACCAGAACAGGACTGGAGCAGTTAAAATACAGTGACTGGTCATTTAGAGTCTTCTTGTATTCTCTAGTGGAGAACATTGAGGAATTCAGATGCTTCATTGTTCCCCTGCTGTGAACATCCAGTATAACAGGCCCTACAATAGGCAGGGCCTTTCAGGGTGATTTAGGGGATCACTTACTCACTAAAAAGCACTGTGGATGTCTGATACTTTCACCCCCACAAAGACCTGATGAGGCTGAGTGCAGAGGAGGGAAGGAGAGAGTCAATTGAAAATTTCAAACCTGTCACTGAGATTTTTTTTTTGCTGAATATGCTTATTAAAGGTTATGAAACCAAGGTGGGTAAGTGGAGTTAAACACAGACGAGCTGTGATCTAATGGGACACGTAGAGACATTCAAGTTAGGAGCAAGAGTAGGTCATTCAGACCTTCAAGCCCGCTTTGTCATTCAATAAGATCATAGCCGATCGGCTTGCTCTACATTCTCACATAGCCCAATACCCTTTCACCACCTTGCTTAACAATAATCTATCCACCTCTGCTGTTTAAAAACAAAAATCAATGACTCTGTTTCCACTGCCTTTTCAGGAAAAGAGTTCTAATGACTCATGCCCCTTTGGGGAATAAAGAAATTGTCACTGTTTTAAATGCCCAACCCTTATTTTTAAATAGTGACACATAGTTCCAGTCTCCTGCACAAGACCCCTCACGATCTAATACGTATCAATTGTCTCTTACTGTAATTCTGTACTTCAAAGGACACAAGTTGAGCCTGTCCAATCTTCTCTTATAAGACCACCTCTCCATTCCAGTATTAATCTGATAAATCTCTGAACTACCTCAAATGCCTTTACATCCTCCTTAAATAAAGTGACCAGTACTATGCACGGTACTCCAGATATGGTCTCAACAATGCTGTTTAACTGACACATATCCTTCCTACTATTTTATTCAATTCCACCTCACAATAAATTATAATATTCTATTAGCTTTCATAATTACTTGCTGTACCTTCATGTTAATGTAATGCGCTAGAACACCCAGATCCCTCTGCATCTCACAGTCTCATCATTTAGATAATAATATTCTTTTCTATTTTACCTGCTACAATGGACAGTTTCACATATTTCTGCATTATACTCCATTTGCCAGATCTTTGGGTGAGTAAATGAGGAACCTATATCCCTTTTGAGTGCTTTGTGTCCTCTTCAAGATTTAATTTATCACCTATCCTTGAGCTGTCAACAAATTTAGGGAACCATACCTTCATTATGCCATGTAAATAAATTGTAAAAAGTTGAAGTCCCAGCATTGATCCCCATAGCACACAACTCATTGCCAATTGCCAGCAGGAAGTGAATCATTTATTCGTACTCTCTGTTTGCTTAAGCCAGCCAATCTTCTGTCCTTACCAATTTGTTAACCCCTACGTCATGGGCTAGTTTTCCCACAATTATCTTTGGTATAGCACTTAATCAGTTGTTTTCTGAAATCTAAGTACAATACATGTACTGGTTCCCCTTTATCCACTTTTTAAAAGAACAAAAAAATTTGGTTCAATGTAATTTGATTTTCACAAAACCATGTTGACTTTGCCCGATTACCTCGGGTTTCTCTAATTACCCTGCCATAATGTCATGATTATTAGCTTCTAACAGGCTGCAGAACAAGGTGGAGGAGCTGAGGAACCTCCTGTTGCCATCTTCCTGTTAAGGTCAGTGACAATTGGCCACACACACACCAGTATTTGCTCTCAGCTCATTCCAAGATGCAAAACCAAGAGCAGTTTAGGCCCTTTGATCAGAATGCCAAAACACTTAGAAACAGATATTTGCCTGTTCATTTAAGAGTGGAGGACAGTACCAGCTCAGTCTCTCTTCACTTAGACAATGAGAAGGTACAAAAAAGAAACATCCAAATGGTGTGACGTTTTTGTTGGAAATGGTGTTTTTATCCTTTCTCCAAACAGCAGATATTTGTCTCCCGTTCTTTCTTGTCCCACTAGAGGAGTTGGGGGAACCCGTCCCTATGTCAGCCATTGGTGAGAGACTCTCTCAGTCCTCACTGACAACCTTTACCCCCCTCCCACCACCCTGTTGCTGGACCCAAACCCATCGAGTCCAGCCCTGGCTGTTTTTTCTCCATCAATCTCCTTTACCATCACTGCCTACCACCCACTTTCCCCCCCTCCCCCAACCAAATTCCCTCCAACTTCTGCCACAAGAACTTCATCCATTCTAGTCCCCAGAGGAATTCAGCCTGTATCCCCCAGACTCTTGTGTCTCCTCACTACTCTGCACCCTTCTTCACCCCGCAACCTGCCTTCAAATCCACCTCTTTGACGCTGGCTGCTTACTGCTGGGATTCAGCCATATTCTCAACTGTGTGACACGTGTCCCGTGGGTGGGGATTTATATCCTTGTAAGGAGCAAACGTGAGGGCAGGTCAATGCAGTCAGGAAGATTTATTGGGTAAGACATTAAACCAAGCCCTCACCTGCTGTTTTGGGTGGATGTAAAGATCCTATGGCACTAATTCAGAAATGCAGAGGAAGTTCACCCTGGAGTCCTGGCTAACAGTTATCCCACAATCAAAATCACAAAGCAAAGTAAAGTATGTGGTCATTATCACATTGCTGTACGTGGGAGCTGGCTATGAGCAAACTGGTTGCTCCATTTCCTACATGGCAACCATGACAACACTTTCAAGAAGTACTTCATTGGCTGTAAGGTGCTTTGGGACAATCCAAAGTTGTAAAATATGCTGTAGAAATGGAACTTATTACCTTTAAATTGCAAACTGTTCTGAACAAAGGATGGAGGAAACCTGGCAGTCATTTGGGGCAGCAAAGTTAATGGGGAAAAGAGTTTTGAATCTAATGATTTGTTTTTGTCCATTTGTTTTCCAATTGTTATTTACAACAGAAGCTGAAAATGATATCAATAGGTGGCATGCAGCTCAATGTTAAGGTCAGCCTTACAGTGCCTTACATCTGGGACTATCACTGACAGACTCACTACTCCATCAGGGTCTTGGTCAGGGTCCAGGTCAGGCTCAGCCCATCTACTTCCACATTCTCAGGTGTATGGACTACATGAAATTTCTCTTCACCTTACTAAGGGTGAGAGACTCTCAGTCCCAGCTGCTATGAGGATATTCTGGGCTCAGGTTCTGTGGATTAGTACCTGATCCACCCTGGTGCTGGGTGAAGTATTCCCAACCTCTGACGCGACTTGGAGACTGCACAGCCTGTGAGCAGTTTGTCCTCACTGCCACCCTACCCCTCTAAATAAGGGCATCGTGGCTAGTCTTTGGGTGGCTCTAGGTGGTGCTGTGCAGAAGGCAGTGTCAGCTACAACCTTGGTTTTGGTAAACCCCCGGCTCATGGCTCTGGAGAAGGAGCTGTCTGGTCTTTATTCTGCTTCAGACGGAAGGAAACCTGGCACCATTGCCCAACCTGGGCTTATAGGTGACTCCAGTCTCTCACTCATCTCTTGCCCCTGAATTTAGGAGCAGCCACTCAGTTGTATCCAAGCAGATCAAGGTGAAGGTCCAACAGTGCCCCCACAGGTGGGTAGACTGGGGAGCGGTGGAAGGGAGTCGGGGGAGGGGGTGAATGCAGTGTCTGTCTGCCAGCTTGTTAATGCTGCCTGTTGGTTCTGTAACCCTTACCCCCTGCCCAATAGTGGCTGATGCCTACTGCAGTGACATTGTGTTCAACAGTGTGCGGGTAATCGCTGTCCTGATCATCTGCCTGGGCTTCCTCCTGCTGCTGCTGCCTGAGGAATGGGACCAAATGGCCATGGACTTCCTGTCCCGCTTCAAGGTCAGGAAGAAGGAAGAGGCTGTCGAGGAGCAGGGAGAGGCTGGCTTTGCGGGACAGAGCCGAAACAAGGGCTCACGGACGTCCACTGCGACGTTTGCACATTCATTCTAGTCAGCGGCTTGGAAATTACAGGAGATTACAACAAAACTCTTGATGATGAAAGGCAGTTGGTGACACACACAGTGAACTCATGTTCCATATGCGGGTCTGTCTGGTAGGATGATTGTAACGTGTTGGTCATGTCTGGTCGCTTGCATTTCTCGGGACCCAGTCACAGGCTCATTGGTCACTGGAAAGGGGAGGGTTAATGGACACCACTGAAGGGGAAGGATGAGGCAAAGCAGCCCAACTTCTGATTTTGTTTTGTTACTGCCCAGGCATCCAGACGGGGGTGTTTGGGATCAGGGGTGGTTAAGGGAGGGTGAACTGACCTCAGGATGGGGTGAGTATGGTGGACTGACTTTCCCCTCTTACACCCAGCCCAACTGGCCACTCCCAGGGGATACAGTGCCCACCCGTTCCCTAATTGCTAATTCTTTACACACTGGAGAATGCCTGGCTCTAGTGTGGGTTGGTGGCGGGTGGGGGGGTGGTGGTTAGTGGGTAAGATAGGTGGCTAATTTTCTGTTGGTCACTAGGTGCTGCAGTCTCTGGTTTCTATGATAAAGGTTCAGGTAGATTTTGCAAAGAGCCGACGATACCTACTGTTGTCTGCCTGGGTTCTCCTCTCTGGGATCCGGGATATTTTGATTAGTATTCCCAACATCTGGACACTGGCCCATGTAGTCCACCAGTTTAAACTCTTCATTCTCATGCCCCAGGATTGCCAACTCCATTATAAGGGCTAGGGTCAGCATTCCTTCAGAGAGCTTTCCTTCCTCTGTGGTGACTGCTCGTGGATTTGAAGCTTAAGGTTGCTATAAGTAAAGGATGTCTAGGCAGGATCAGTAATGTGCATGCAGTGGGGTCAGTTAACACCGTGTAAAGGCATCAGGACCTTTGATCTCTGACAGTGAGGTTGGCAGGAGTGATTTTGAGCACTTGGGGAGGTGTTCTCACCCACCATACAGGGTACCCACTTCCTGATATGATATTTCAATATGCAACCTAGGGTCTACTCACGCTCTGCCCTCTTACACCATGCAGTAAATGGCTCTTACAGATTAAACAGCCACTATTTCTTTCAACTGTTGTTTACTGAAGCTTGGGAGGGGTGGGGGTGTTGGGAGTGCAGGATACCGTGGCCCACAACCAGTCCCCAACCTTTGGCCCCTCTCTGCTCCTATCTCCTGTCAGCCTCTTTCTCCCACATTGGTGATGTAGAGCACCCCACACCTTCTCTATTTCACCTCCTCCCCCTCATGATGCCTCTCCAACTCTTGGGATCGCTCTTGTTCAGCCAGGGGAATTTTTAAGAGGTGTTCATAAGTGTGAGGGTTGGTGGAGGAATGTGGTCTTGAGAGGGTTAAACAAGAGAAGCCATTTTTCCGTAGGAGAACTGACATAGGTTTAATCAACATGTCAAGGGGGTGGGGAACAGGTATTTGGTATTGGGTGGGCATCAACTCCTGATCTTCTGATTTAGAGAGAGAGAGAGAGGGTTACCCCCCTGAGCCTCAGGCAATCTAACCACTGTCCTGTGGTGACCCATTGATTGCAATGATCTTTCTATTGCTTAACTAAAGCGTGATGCCTCGCGAAATCAAATATCGATGTCCAACACCAAGTCCAACACTACCAGGACGATCAGATTTCAACATCAGCTACCTGGCAGTCTGCAGCCTCTTTGCATTTTTCTATCGACAGATGCCAAGAGAAAGCAGTTTTAAGTGGAACTTGCATGTTTTTGTTCAACATAATCTAATTTAATGAATGTGTGTTTGTATTTTTTTTAAAAAACAGTCTTAACAGTGGCTGGAGGTGAAGCATGATGTTCAGGTATTAAACAAAACATCAATAAGTGCATGGTCGTCACTGGCACAACCCCAATCACCGGCCACCACCAATCCCCCACCCCCCCCCCTCCCCCAACCCGCCCCCCCCCCCCCACCACCACAACCCGACCCCCCAACCCCCACCCCACCCCGGGCTCACCTTTTCTGAGTCAGACCAAGAGATTCCATCATCAGACTTGTGGCTGCCCACAAGCCTGCCCCCTCTCTCCTGCCAGCCATCACCTCTTGTGCCCAACCTATGCCACCTATCCATAGCCAGTCAGTAAAACAGCAGACTGCCCATTCCCTGGATGTATAATACAGCACCGACGGTTCACCCAACCACAACATTTTTATACCTAATAAAAGTGTGCATTAAAAAAGGGGGAAATTGCATCATTTCTTCAAGGCTCCTATGACTTTTCTTTGGATTTCCCGTTCCGTGTCCTGGAGATTAAAGGTGACTCCTGCCAATCTTGGAGAGTTGGCACCACAGCTATTCCCAGACAATTTGCCTTCTGTTAGATATTAGACACATCTGGATGTGGGAATGTCCCATTCCGCATCCAAAAAAGACAATGAGAAGTTACACGGGAGAGGAGGGGCTTAAAGGGATGGAAATCTCCTTAAGTTCTGTTCCTATCAAGACAAGAACCTTGCTTGTAAACACAATAAGTCTGATGAAGGTGCAGATATCTCCAGTTCCTGATGCTTCCAGACTGGAGAAGCTGGGATCATTCTGTTCAGCCAGGGGAATTTTTAAGAGGTGCTCATACATATGAGGGCTGGGGATGGGGTGTCTTGAGGGAATGAAACAGGAGAAGCCATTTTTCCACAGGAGGATTGGTATCTTGAAGACCTGAGTTTAATAACCATAGAATTAGATGTAAAAAGAAGATTTTTCGTCTTAAGGAATGAGGTATGATATGGAATAAGCTGCCTGAAAGAGAGACCAAAATAGATTCAGCAGTAACTTTCAAAACAGATTCTGCAATAAATGTTGTAAGTATGTGGAAATGCATCCTGCTGTGAGTGAGAATAGAGCGTATCCATGGATTTCCAACAGAAATCAGATAGGTTCTGGATGACAAATAGTGTTTAAGGTCATTAGGAACAAGCCATGGAAGACTGTGGATAGGTGGGCTAGAGGGTCGAAGGGTTTCCCCTTCCTGATACCATGTTACTATTTTTAAAAGCAAAATACTTTTATCTGAAAAGAATGGAATTCATTCATCTACAAAACTGTGTTAACCATGTGTAAACTGAGGATGAAAAATTATTTCTATTTTACAAGAAATTGCAAAACAACAATAAAATACATTAGTAAGAATCTTGGTCTTTGTGAGTTCTTAGCCTTTAAAATCTCTCTCTCTCTCCACCTCGTTCCCAAACCCAGGTCGTCCGCCATTGTTTGGTTGAGAGTCTGATTGGTCCCAGTGAAGACCAGTTAAGCAGCTACTCCCACAAAACATATACATGGTGTGAATCTTGTACCAGAGCTGGGTTACACTGAACTCTGAAAACTGTGGCACTTACTAGACTCCGCACTGCAGAAAGCTCACAGGAACGGTGGAGAATGCACAGACATTCACAAGAATGATAACCAGAATTGAGAGGTCACAACAATTTCTTGAAAAGAGCAGGCTAAGATGTGAAATGATAGAGACCATTAACTTCTATGACAGGGTTTGATAGGGATACACGCGGAGATGTTTCCTTATGTGTGAGACTGAAACTAAGGGCTGTCAACATGTGAGAGTTACTAATCAATTCTTTAAGGAAATCAGGAGAAATCTCTTTACACAAGAGAGTGATTAGAATGTGGATCTACTCCTGCAGGGAGTGTTTGAGGACAGTAGCACAGATACTTCCAAGGCACACCAAGGTATATGTACCAGAATAGACCTGTCAGGCTGAAGACACGTTTCTGTGTTATACGTTACATTTAAAGGGCCAGAATCTTATCAAATTACTACAGCATGTTGAAAACTGTCTCCAGATTTTTGGTGAGACTTGTTGTCACCTGATAATTAATGTTACAGAGATAACAACCCATGAGTTGTTATTGTTCGATTGAAATCAAAATACAGCAAGAACAGGACCGTGAAACTGCCTGTATTGTGTTGTACTGAGATGGTACAACCACAACCTGTATCCATATAACATCATTAACACAGTCAAAGCTCCCAAAGGTGTGTACAGATCCTGCAACTTGGACACAAGTCCCCAGATATTATTGAAGAAGATTTTGCAGAGTCAACTAGGCATGATATGCCATTGGTTTTCCAGCACCCAGCTCAATGCTACCCTGTCCATCCAGTAGTTTTGGTCCTATTTGACCTTACTGTCAAGGTTTGATACAGCTGAGTAGCTTGTTAAACCCGTTCAGAGGGCAGTTCAGGGTCACTTACCTTGATGTCTATCTGGAGTCACATGTCGGCCTGGAATGGAGAAGGTTAGTTATTAGGGAAGAATACAGGAGGAGGAAACCTCACATTGTTTCACAAGTATTTAGATGATCACTTGAAGTATTATAGCCTATAGGCTATGAGCCAGGTGCTGGAAAAAGGGTCTAGATGTTTGACAACCAGGCAGACATGACAGGTGAAAGGGCCCCTTTCCATGCTGAGAAATACTACAATTCTAATTGATTGCTCTGGTTGTTTTCCAGAGGAGGTTGACAGAGTTTTCAATAATGAGTACAAAATTGAAGGGCCAAGAGAGAGTGGTTAGAAAGAGCCAAGTAGAGATGTCTATAACCAGGGGGCATGAAGTAATTGGTGGAAGAATTGAGCAGGGAGTTGAGACGATATGTTTTTGATCAGAGGGACATAGTAGCTGAAACTTACTGGAAACAGCAGAAAAGTCAACACCTCAAAAATACTAGAGATAGTAGGAACTGCAGATGCTGGAGAATCCGAGACAACAAGGTGCAGGGCTGGATGAACACAGCAGGCCAAGCAGCATCATAGGAGCAGAGAGGCTGACGTTTCGGGTAAATACTGAGGTGTTATAACCCTGAGAGTTAGGGTCAAAGAGCTGGAAAAAGGAGTTAGGCTGGAGAGCTCTCTTTAGGCTGGCACAGACATGTTCGGCCAAACAGCCATCGACTGTGCCATAACTTTTCTGTTTCAGTGGCTTGATGTTCGTATGCTTTCAAATGTTATGGAAATTCACAGCACACAAAGAGACCATTTAGCTGCCTGGTGCTGGTCCCCTTTTCTCCTCCTTTTATATCCCTCCCTTTCAAATATGTATCCAATTCCTTTTAAAAAAGATGTTCTAATGCCTACATCACAGGTGTTTGTGGCTAAACATCCCTTGGTTCATTAGTCCTGAATCACGCCCTTTCCTCTCCCTTTCTGCCAGGCCATTTCAGGAGAATCCTTCATCTCCATCACTTAGCTCCACATTTGCCTCTCAGTAGAAACATTTCTCATTATACAGCAGGAACAACTTTTCCAGGTTTAGTTTCATGCTTCCCTCTCTCCCCCTCAATCCAAGTCCTGGTGTCCCTCGCACTCTCGCTGTTCCACTCTCCTCCGTGCTGAGTCTCTCCAACTCTTCCCCTTACTCATCTCATGGGCGTAGGTGTGAGTGA